TTTTTTTCTGCGTCTGTGAAAGATGCAGAGCCTAAAAATGTTTTTCATCATTTCTTTCAACATAGAAAATCAAGCCCGATGTATAGACTATCAATTATATATAGTAAAACTCGCATACAGTGAAATGTTCTATAACGAAGGAATAGCGACCGACCGACCGGACTATATTTTGAAACGTTCCGTAAGTACGGTCAAACTGGATATTACTTTTCTTAACCATAAGGTGACTGAACATTTCTAAATCAAGAAGTTTATATAAGCCGACAAAGTTTTAGTAACTGGCATGAAATTTTAGTGGAAGAAACATGTCACAGATGAATTTTTCGAAAAATCGCATCATACCGCAAAATACCAGTAATATCGACCAACTGACTATATTGCATACTAGTGCCGGCATACCGGTACACAGTGGGCATCCCCGCGAACATTTGGTAAAAAATCGAAAGTGCGATTTTTTAAAATTAAAATAGTGGTAAATACAGTGGCTGTCAAAATTATTCACCATCCTTGCAAATTTCTTTTATTAAGGTTATTGCTTGTTGAGGAAAGCTGCTAGAAGTCTTTTGATCTCATCACGAGATAGCCCTTAGTTTGTTGTACATTTCCTTTAAAATTCAGGTTCTTATGTCTCGGTTTCGATTTTTGGCAAGTTTTCTTGTGAAAATAACCGAATTTTTAACGCTAGAAAGCGTATGTAAAATATGGACTTTAACTTCTGTATTATCTTATCCCATTGTTATTTTTTCATGAATTATTTCGAGACACATATCGTTTGATAGAGTGTTGATTGCGCTACAAAGTGGACTATTTTTATTTGAAACGGGCTCCAGAAGTACATCGAAAGAGAGATGTTTCTAGAAGGCACTTAATGTTCAGAGCATGTGTCCGGTAAACCTCGCTTTTCTCTACTACAACTAGATCAAAATTGGCTTCCAAATATGTCATTCGAAAGAGCATGAAAAACTACATTGAATAGACTAATTCATAAGTGTTTTGAAGAGTGCTGTAAAAACAATTATCTATTTTTTCATTAGTTTGGCATAAATATATACCACACCTTGTTCGTATCCTGAACTGCTTCCTCCATAATTTGACCAGAGAGTAGTCCTGTTTTAAATATGTTTAGAATTTGTAAGTTTTTATACTGATAGCGTATAATAGTAAGTGCTTCTATAAAGCCTTATATTTATTTCACTTTCCTTTTTTATGTATTAATACGTTTTCTGGCAGTTTTACCCCGATACATTCTAAATTATTTAGCGATAAACAATAAGAAGAATACAGAACGATAAAGTTGAAATATAAGAAACTTATTTTATGAGCTGGACATCGTAAAGGTCCACCAGAAGAATTACGTGGTACACGAAGATTACAACCACCACAATTTCTGTCCATCAAAAACTAGATTTTCTTGTAAACATACTTAAAGCCAGTGTTATCTTCTACTTAAATGTACACGATTCACATAAGATAAGTTCCTTATATTGTTATTTTAATAACGTCCTCTACAAAGTTTTTATTCATATCAAGCCAATAGGTTGAGCAATAATAGACCTGAAAAATACAGCTATCTATATTGCATCTCGACATGCAATGCAGACAGCATTCTTCATGTTGTCAATACACGAGCCGATATATTGATCTGTTACAGCCCAATATACCAAGGACTGTAGCTCCCCACACTCGCATCTTTTTGCGTCCAAATATATTGAAAAGGTATCGGGATGCACTAGATAAAATGCCCAATATATCTAGATAACCCAATAAAAGTGACACCGGTACCAAGATATTTGATAATAGAGTAGCCCAATACGATGACTCTCCGATTTCCCGATCAGGAACTGCAAGCGTTTAAACTTTTGGTGTAAAATCGTCTATTAATAAAACTGTCTACGCTTGCAGTTCCTGATCGGGAAATCGGAGAGTCATCGTTGACGTTTCGCTTTGTTCATAATTGAATGCTCTTTCAACCCATCCAATTAGAATTGATTTTTGAGGAAATTTGGGTTTCTAGAGGGTTTCTAGAAAACCAGGTTTCGGTTTTTGATATGTTCCACACCTTTCTCTATTTTTTGGATTTTTCCATTAAATTCAGTGTCAAAAGCTAGGTATATGGTCAAATTTCGCGTTGTTTCCAGCTTTCCTGTAAAAGTTACAGCCGGACGACCTGAAGGAAGTCATGGTTTTTCATGTTTACTGCATGTTTTGCATGTTGAAACTCTCTTTTCGGACCTTTTTTTGAATGACTTTGACGGCCCGTGATGTTTGAAACATGGTCAAGTGTGTTCGGATCCACTAATGCTATTCTACTATTCAGAAAGATTGAAAACCCAGAATAAGCGCTTGCACGAATCCTTCAGTTTATTGCATTTTCCTCCACAGAAACTCAACTTTTTTCAACTTTAGACCATATATTCGTAATCAACGTGAAATTTTGAGCCAGAAAAAGTGTTCTTTATCTAATTTCAAAAAAAAAATTTTTCGATGTTTCAAAGGGTACCTTGGCCGTTGAATTTTTCTGCAAAACTAAAAAACAATTTTTGAAAAAGTGAGACGGATAAAATACTCAGAATTTTACGCTGATTCCGAATATCTAACTTTTATTGGGATTTATTGGGGTGCTCGACACTCGCTCACCCTCCCTCGTCCTTTCCAAATGGAATATCTTGTACTTCATGTAAACGTTGACTTGTTTTGTCAAGTTCTTTTGCGATTCTATTCATTGTTGATTGATCTAATAAAAAAGATAAATTTATTTAGCATAGAAGATCTGAAACTTTACTCCATTGTACAATAATATGTCCGAGAATAAAAGATAAAGTTAATAATACAATTATGCACGTGCAGGAGCCTAATGTACCATTATTATTTTGATATCGTTCGATGCCTTTTTGTGATCTAATATCTGGAGAAATCCGTGTTGATTGAAGTATTTCAGAATTATGTACATTTGTTTGGTGAGTATTTACAGTAATACGACGACGGCTTTTATAAAGATATACAGATGAGTTGCTTTTAATGATTTCATATAGAAAAAAAACATACCGAAGACTATTTTGTAACGAAAGTGGTTCATTAAGAACATTATTTTCATTGATTGTTGCAGACATTGTAATACTTGGATTATCATTATTATATGGAATGATTATTTTCGATGGTAAAATCACATTTTCTTCTGCAGTTGGTGTTGATATCAGTTGCTGTTAGGATGATAAAGAATTACTTTGTATATTGCTATCAGTATGAGGAAACAACAATGAATCTCCAACATTGGTCGTTTGCAATAAATGATTTCTTTGTTCTAGAGCATGATGATGAATGGAATTATTTGTAGGTAAATGTGAGACATAAGTATTGATTGTATTATCATCATTTTGTGCATGTTCAAGTCTAAAAAACATTCGAATGAGATGACATTTCATTCTTTATATGTCATGATTCAAAGATAAGTGGTACATAAATATGCCATTGGAATTTACTTCTCTTAGACATGATCAACCTATGTAATATTTTCCTTTTTAAGTGTAGCAGCATATTTCTAAAGTTGAACAGACAATGTTCGAAGGTTTACTACGAACATCTACGAACGACATTTTTCGCCTTAGCAAATTGCTTCACCTTTACTTAAAGTGCAACGCCCTATTATGACTAATCTCTTTTTTTCTTCTGCTCTTCAAATGTAAAAACTCTGACACGATACGTACTTATTAAACATAAACTAATAATATTTTTCGATTTCAATCTACGAGATTAATATTAAAACTACTGAAAATCTATTATAAAGTACTGTTACTCTTTCTCCTTGGTTTAATGTTATAAATTTCTACTAAAGTATTTAACTCACTCAGTTAAAGAAAATAGAAGATAAAGAAACACTTCGATTTGATTTTGATGAACAACTAGTGATGCTACTACTTGATGAATAAGAACGTTCATAATCATTACGATTTATTACGTCTTGAAATATCTTTAAAAAATACAAGATAAATTAATTTCAAATAATAACAATATAAAAAATGTTTTACAGTATTTATTGGTGGTGTTTCATGTAAATAAATATAACTGACTCACATAAGACTGTCTCTAAAACCTAGTTTTTCATTGCGATGCCGCACATTTTAGTAGTAATTTTAAAAGGTCTTTCAGGTACAAAAACTCACACTTTGACTGTCGATTTTTATCTTTTGCTACTATAAAATAGTTGGTATTAATTTCGAAGAGAAAACTAAACAAATGCTAGCTTATAACTAATACATTTTACTAAAAAAATAATACTCCTCTCTCGTTAAAAACGCATATTATTTGGTTAACCTCGGTGCTTCTTTTATTCAAGAATTTGTATTTTTTTTATTGATACTCTATTTTCCTATATGTTGTCGATATGAATATATTTTGCGTGGTTTATGAATCACTTGTTCTTAAGTATTGTTTTCGTTTACATCGAATTTTCTCCTATATTTTATTGTTTATCTGTTGTGCTGCCTATTATTTTCTATTTCTATGATAATGTTCGACATATTTTACCACTATATTTGTATTTTACAATTCTTTTTTATATGCTAATTGTGACATATAACAAAATTGAATTTTTCTTATTTTTTTGTATTAACCGCACTACTTTTTATTCTGAAGACGACGAATGAATCTATGTTTCACTCGACTATCCGGTTAACTTGCTATTGATAGAACAAAAAATACCAGCTAATGGAAATCGATTGCAGACATTCAAGTGTTTCTTTCAAGTGTTTTGATCTGTTAAGCCATTGTTGGACTGGTCATGTGTATTTACTCGCATCGAAACCATATGCAAAGAACAAGAAAACAAAATATATCGCGGTTGATTGAATAATCAATTCAAACATGAAAAGAAATTGAGAAATTCAATGATCAAGCGAAAGAAAAACCGTCTATTGTAATTTAAGCAAGCAATCCATACATTCGAAGCGTAAAATACATGTCGTAGGATGATACTGTAAAGAAGGATTATTATCAAGTTGAAATGTATTCAAACCTACATTACTTTACAGGTTTTCACTGCGGGACAATTAAAGACATTGTGTCAACATTCTGAAAACTTCATTATTAAAGAATATTCTGATCTGTGCTATTATAATTTCGACTGATGTCGTCATAGAAACAAAATAATTCAAATTAGATACAATCGATATTACCTAAATCGAGAACATTCGAATAGCAAAAGACAATATCAAGTCGATCTCTCTAATATTCAAAAGAAGAAGTGATATGATTTCAACGGATAAATTTATTACTTCTGATGAATCAAAATCTACGACCTAATTCCATTCGACAATGTCTACAAGATTAAAGTATGTCATGTGATGGACGCATCATGGAAATGGTCATACGGAATACTCGAATTTATCACTAACATCTATAGTTGGCACAAGATCATTGGTATTATTTACTAATGTAAATAAATTATGAACGCTGGTATATCCTGTTTCGTAAATCAAGCATTAACTATAAGACAGGAGTTGGGTGAAAGATATTATCTATATATGTTCGTTTTCTTCTCTCTCTCTCTCTCTCTCTCTCTGCTTTTTTGTTGGATATCTTTTCTAACTTTTTCTTGTGATTGTTTTCTTTACTGACTTGTTCTACTCTAATAAATTATGTGTCTTCAAATGTCTTATATTATCTTGTTTCATATATAGTACGAATATATATATTAAAGTTAAAACTCGACTTGATTTAATACAATTGTGATATTTTACAACCGCTTTTTTCGTTACTGGAGACTATGACAGAACTCATTTCTGATCGCATCAAAAAGAAGATATCCACGACCGGTTTCGACCTTTCTTAAGGGTCTCGTTAGGTGATTTCCTTTGAGGAAGGTAGAGTTATGGCACGACAAGCAACACAACTCAGTCCACATCGTGTGAGGGTGTTATTATTTACAATACCTTCTTGAACTTGTTCCATAATTTGATTAGTTAAAATGTTAGTTAAACAAGTAGTAGCAAACTCATATGCTGCTCCTTTAAGTATTTGCGCAAATAATGCCGCTCTAGATACTGAACCTCATTTAGCAGCGACGTTACCGATGGATGCTAAGTTACCGATACCTGCAGTAGCTATAGAAATACTAAAACTAATTGCCTTTTGTATTGCCCAATCTCTCCAACTAAAATTACCTGATAGTCCTGCCATGGTTTCATATACCATATCAGAAATGCCTTCGGCAACTAGAGCACCTCCTATATTAACAGCACCGAATGAGATTAAGACTGCGCCGGCAATGACTTGGGCAAGTCCTATCATTGCAACGGCAAATGCATTCCAATCCCACCAGGATTTATCTTCTTTAATAATTAAAAACTTATTCAGAGCAAGTCCTTGAAAAAAATTTAATTCAGTTGGAACAATTTCTTGATCTGGAAGATCAATAAAATCTGTAAGGGTTGCTTTTAAACCACCTTTATATGAACGAATATCTCCTTGTAAAACTGATAGTTTCGATTGAATTAGTTTCTTGTCATTTTCATAACCACTATCTTCTAAAATTTCATCTGACAGTTTATCTATCTCTTCTTGCTTATTACCATAATTATGAATGGCAAGTCCGCCTGATTTGAGGATATTTTTATCTTTTAAAAATATTCGAATTTTATTTCCTTCCTCTTCTCTTGTACCATATGGTAAATCTGTTTGATAAAAATATTCACTATGTTCTTTAATACTATCTTGTAATTCTATTAAAAACGTTTTCAGATCCTTTGTCTCATGACCATTGTCATTAAATTTAACTTTTGCGTATTTTTTATATTGATGGTCAAATCTTAGAGAATTGAAATTTAATTCAGCGATTTTAATTCGTTTAGTTTGAGTCAGTATTTGGTTCTGTTCTAAATAGACTTTAAATTCGTTTTTCTCTGTAGAACCGTCAAATATCGATCTATCAACTTGTTTTGGGTCTCTTGTATTTCTTTTCATATTTCTGTGGTAAGTCTTTCTTTATTCTATTTACATCTAATATAAAAACTACTTCAGCATTTTTAACATTTAAAGCTTCCCATAGTTCTTCATTACAACAAACGATTTTTTCAAAATCTTCCTTTTTAAAGTTATCATGTCTTTTTAATAAACTAATTAATGGATCAGCAATCGCAGGATCAATATTATCTCGGATAATATTTTTCATATTTGCTCGTTCTTTCGAATCATTACGAAATGCTTTTCTTATTCTATCTCCATAAATGATTCCCCCTTGAACTAAAAGATCATATAATTTCTCTCCTTTTCAGCATTTTCTTTGGTTGATTTTTGCTCCTCGTTCGTCTGTAGTATAAAATCATATGGCTCTACTATGTCTCCAACATCTTTTCTTAAATAATGTAAATGTAATCCAATAACTTCTAGTTTTCCAGTAATCTGTTCCTGATAATAATTTTCTTTTAAAGAGATTTTTTTTAAGACATCAGCAGTGGATGGAGGAAGAATCTCGGCAATTTTAAGATTTGCCATTAAATTTCGTTTAACCGCTTCTAAAGAATATATGGCTTTCTTTAATTGTTTTCTTGATTGTTTTTTAACATTTTCTTTCGTATTTAATTGAATTATAGAAAATGCAAGTCCTATATTTGCGAATCCTGATATATCTCCACATCGAATTCCTTTTTCAAAGCATTTTTTAGCCAGGTCAAAATCTTTTTCTGAAAGACAAACTTTTCCTATTTGAATAGTTTCTTCTGGTTTTTCAACAAATTTTTCAAATAAATCATCTAATGAACATCCCTCTAAAAGCTTAGTTAATTCTTTTATAAACGAATTCTTATATTCTTTTAATAGAGCATTTTTTATATACGATGTTTCAACAGCATCAATCTTTTCTTTCGCTTCATCTAATCAAAATGTCCATCGATCTTTCAAAATAGTTTCTAAAGCTTCAACAAATGTTTTTCTCGATTCTTCTGGTTTATTGCTAAATAATGGTTCAAATACTGTCTCAGCAATATGCTTCTTAAATTTATTAAATTGCTTAAAAAGTTCTTCTTCTACTTCTAAACGAAGTATACTTTTTTGTTTTAATTCTGAAAGTCGAGCTGCTTCTTTATTATCTCGATTGTTTTTTTCTTGTTCTAAAATAACATCTGCTAAATCTTTTAATTTATTTTCTCGTTGATTTCTATCTAATTAATTTAATTCATATTTTTCCTCATAGATAGATTTATCTATATGTAAAATAAATTGTCCAGTTCCTGATGCTCCATTTCTAGCTGTTCGTCCAAAAGCTTGTTCTTCAACTCGAACATTTTCAGGTAAATAACATAAAATAATATGCATTCCTCCACTCTTATTCACGTCAGGATCTACATGAATATCAGTTCCTCGTCCACCTTTATTCGTAGCGATAATAATATCACCAACTTTTTCGAAATCTGTCTTCGATATTATCTCCATCTCTTCTATATTTTGCTATGGTATGAGGAGGAATACCATGTCGAACAAGTTCATTCCAAATATTTTTTGTTGATTCGAAATTTTCACAAATAATTAAAACAGGTCTTTTCTGCGTTTCTTCAATGCTTTGTTTAGCAATTGAATCAAGCCAGTCGGCATATTCAATTGATACTTTACTAGGAAGTTGAAAATAATGTATTTTTCTCGAAGTAGGTAAATCTGCAAATTGTACTTGATATAAATCTGATAGAAAACTTTGAGAATTTTCTGATCCTAATGTTCCTGTTAATCCATAAAGATATTTTCTATATCTTTGAAAAAATTCCTTATTAGACATGAAAACTGCTTTTAAACTTTCAACTGATAATTTTCTTCGATATTTTAGTTCTAAAAATTGAGCTAAACCATGACTCCATCGTGTGGAATATTGTTCAACTCCAGTATCTTTATCAAGTACAATAATAGTTTTCTGTTTGGAATTATTTAATTCATCTGCTTTAGATACATCTAAAACAAAATGATCATCTTCTCGCATAATTCGTGCTTGAAATACACTATCAACCCAACGTTTGATTTTATAATTAACAAATTTATGAAGATAATTAGGAACAAAAATATTCTTATTTTGAACATGTTGTTTTATAAATTGAGAAATATCTTCTATATGCGCAGAAATATCATCAGGATTATTAATCTCTGTTTTAAGTACTACAGCCCAAATGTTAATAAATAATGTTTCAAGCCATTTTAAACTTTGAATTTCATGAGAAAGATAAAGAACATGTCGAGCTCGATCTAAACACATATTATCAACTTCATCAACAATTAAACATTTTTTTCTATTTTCATATCGTTTACCGAAAATTTTTTTATTATTAAATTCTTCTTCTAAAATATCGCGTTGAAAAAATCCTACTTCTCCATAAACAATATTTCCTTGAATTGTATTTAAATCTAGTCTATAAGATTGATGATTAATATCATCATTTTCACTACATATATGACCACTTTCAAGTTTTAATAATTGAAAAAATGATCGACATTTCTGTTCTCCTTCTATAGCTAATCTCGATTACTACTATCGGAATTTTAAAAGAAGGCAGGTGTAAAAAAAGCATATAACTTTCGAACGAAAAGTCGTAGCGACCTGCGATTTTTACCAATTGAAAGAGCGAAGCGGGGCACGCGAACCTATGTAAAAATCGCCGGGTCAATTCATAAAAGTACCTGTTACCTGCATTTTCAAATTTGGCAGAAAGTTGCAGTAAATATACCCATTCTTGATATTTAGCATCGGAATATAACTGATTCAAACATCAGATATGCACTATACGGTGCCTCTCTATCACTTGAACTCAACAAGATAAAATGTTGAAGTTGTCTTGTTTGAAAGAGAAGGATTCCCTGTGAGAAAAAGGAAATTGGAGGTTTTGAACTTTGAAGCTTATTTTGGCGTTTTTCGACAAATTGTTAAAAGTCACATACATGTGCCTTGTTTAAGAGATCGACTTTTACATAGGTTCATATGCTCCGCTTTGCTCTTTCGAATGGTGAAAATCGCAGGTCGCTATGACCTTCCAATCAAAAGTTATTAACGTTTCTTCCACCTGCCTTCTTTAAAAATTCCGATAGTAGAAACAATATCAACAGCATTTCCACATAAGGCAAGAAATGCAGCAGTTAATCCGACAATAAGAGTTTTTCCTTAACCTGTTCGAACCTGTTCAAGAAGTCCTTTGTCATTACTATGAATAGAAAGTAGTAAAAAAGCTATTTGTGTATCTTTTGGAAATTGAGGATGATTAGCAATTGACCAGGTGTAAAGAATTAAGGAAATAATTTGATCTCAATGAGAATAGACATACTCGGAAGCATTATTTTGATAAGATTTTTTATTTAATATCTCTTGAATTTCTCGACTAATTTGCGATTTTTTATCTCCTTCTGATACGCCTTTTTTTAAAGCTTCTTCTTTAAATCTTTTCGCTTCTTTGGCAATTTTATTAAGAGTTTCTTTTGAAATAACATTAGTTCTATCTTTTTGTTTGGTAATCATTTGATCAATAATTTATCGAGCTGAACGATCAGATTGACCATCAATTCGATATCGATCTGATTCTTTTTTCTTTATTTTCTTAGGCCAATCGATGTAATCAATGTTCAAAACAATATCATTCGCTTGTTCAAAAGAAAGTTTTTGATAATGAACAGCTTTCAATAGTTCATTTAATGGCTTGATACTTTTACGACCCGATTTTGCTATTTTCTTAGAAATACAATGAAAAAATTGTAAAAACTTATCATAATTTTCATTACCTAGTTGTATTCGAATGCGATTTAAAAATAATAAAGTTTTCTCAACACCATCTTCATTAAGGTCAATACCACATGTAGCCATTTCTCGATTGAAAAGCTGAGAAAATTCAATTTCATGTAAAAGAATATCCCAAATTGCTAATGACGCATCGGATAACTGATCTAAAAGTTGTTTAGTTCCACTAACTTTACCCATTAATTCAACAATATGAAGAAATTTTTCTTTAGTCATTTTCTGATAATTAGGCACAGAAGTCATATTTCTATAGATAGCTTGATTGATCTGATCAATATATTGACAAACAAACATATTGTTAAACAAATGTAAAATATTCACATTCACTCTCATTAACATACTACGAAGATTTTCTATTTCATTTTCATGAGAGAATATCAAAGAATATTTCTCAATAATATGCTCTATGAACAATGTTTTTAACCAATCAATTTGAGGTGAAGATGATAATTTTTCAGTTGCTAAACGAATATCTTGAAAACAACACAAGCATTGTTGTACTTTTGAAAAGATCTCTAGTTTTATGAGAGGACCACCATCTCTTTCTAATCTGTCGATAAATGTATCAATTAAATTATTAAAAGTTAAAACTTCATATGGACTTTTTTTCTGAAAAGAACAAGATATTTCTGCTCTATATAAATATCCATCTAACTGCTTAAAACCGTTTTCTAAATCAGATTTCTCTTTTAACATTAATTTATAGAATTTATTCAATTTTTTTTCCTGCAATACAAAAACTCTTTCAAAGATAATTTCTTGTATTTTATCAATTATGTTCATATCAGTAGACGTCTGATTTTCGCGAATGCATTCGCATAATTGATCATTATTTTCTTCAAATGTTTCTGGAAAATGAATAACGACTTCTAACCATTTAGCATTCGAATATTTTTCAAATAAATTTATAAGATATTTCTCTATATAAATTATCTTCATTTCTTGATAAATCGAGTCAATCGCGTCTTTCAAATATGTATATTCCTTTAAAATATTATCAGATTTATTTGCGCATAATTTCTCTACTTTTGGAGATAATCCTATCAGCCAGTTAAGATGACTGATTTCGATATTTATTTCTTTAACTTTATCTATAAATTGATATCTCGAAAGTATCTCAAATAACCAAAATAAAAACTCGACAAATTCGTCGTTAATAAATTCTAATGGATAATCTTTTTCAAATAAAACATGAAGTAAAAAAACCTGAAATTGTGCATGATCAATATTAATATCACTAGGATATGAACTATCTCGATGCGCTCTAGTGATCGGATCCATTAACTTGACCAAACTCTGAAACTGAACTCTCTTTGGAGTTACTCCAGAATCGGAGTTCTCTACTTGACCACAGTATTGATAAAAACTATTATAAATCACTTTAACAATCTCAGATTTTTCCTTTACTTCTTGATTTAAAAAAGTTAATAATGTTTCATAGGTTTTCATTTCTATTTCAACAGGTAAATTTTCTTGACGATAAGAGTTCTTAATATATATATATTAATCGGCTGGAGCTTCTGAGTAAAAATCGAATAAAGCTTCATCGAATAAAAAAAACATGTGTCGTTTTAAAATTAATAATGTTGTGGAATATTTTCTCTCTTTTAACTTTCCAGTAATTTGATTGAAAAATGCATTTATGTTTTCCTTTGGACTAAATTCACTTAGATTTAAGATATCGCTCAATGGTACGACGAAATTAGATAAAGTATTTTCAATGTTATTATCTCGTATATTTTGATGAAAGAAATTGTCAAGTTCACCTTCTAATGATTGACTAATTTCAATATTCTGTTTTAAATATATTTTTGTTTTTGCTCCAATTCTTTGTTTAATTTGCATGCAAAAAAAGACAAAAATGTAATTCCTTTACTAATTTTAGAAGAGATTTTCTGGTGTTAAGTAAAGTATTATCCGAACTAGTGTATATTGTATCTAACTTCTTTACAACAAGCATACGAATATCATCATCAATATTTTTACGACCAGAAAATAATTTGTCAAGAATTGTAAGTAAAAGTTTTTTCTCAGTAAAAATAACATTCTCTTCTTTTTGCTGATTGATAAAGTTTATATGTTCTCTTAGATGATGAATAACTTCGCTAACATTTGCTGGAAACTGACTTATAGCGTCTTCTATGTCTAGTTTCTGTTCAGGAGCTAACGTTGATGCTCTAAAGCAATTAAAATGCGATCGATTTTTTGCATTTCAGTTTGATTCGATAAAGTTCTTAATACGTTTTCACAAGTGACTTTTAATTCATCTAACTCATTTTCTGATACACCTAGAAGATCGTCAGATTTTGTAAGATTAATAAATTCTATTAAAGTGCAATAAAATTCATCAACTTCATCATCTTGCGTTGCTGATCTTACCAAGTAAAGTTCTAATTTTGTCAAGACAAGATCGAATATTTTCCAAGAAAGTTTCTTTATTTAATTTCGTTGATTCGATTTCTTTTTCTTGTTTTTCAATTTCTAATTTTGTTCGTTTATAATCAAGAACTATCCTTAAAAACTGAAGGGCATTACTAAGATCACTAATTATTATTTTTTGTAAAATATTTTTTACAATACAAAAAACATGTTCTTTAGTTTTATATTCCAAACGTTCGAGATTCTCTGTCGTCCATCTAACAAATTCTATTATTTTCTTATTTTGGGACCAACTATTGATCTCTCCATAATTTTTTAGTTTACTAAATATTTCTTCGACTAATAGTGGATCATTTAATGTATTAAAAGCATCTATTTGTTGTTCAATTGTATATATAACGTTTTTCTGTTCATGAGATGTTGAAGAATGGAAATTTAGTAAGTCATATAGATTGTCCGATTGAGATATTCTATCTAAATCAGCGGACTTATCCGGGGTTATGGAGTGATTTATTTTGATTTTCTCAATAGCAATAGAAAAATTGAATGTAATGTTATATAGAGAAGATCGTGGATTTTGAACAAGTACATGTTCTATCTTCTCGGTCTGTTTTGTTAGAATACCAAAATCATCCTTGTCGATATCCATTAAACTTAGATTGTGTAGAAAAAGAAAAAGAAAATTGTTAATTATATCTAATTGATCAGCATTGGTTAATAAATCTTGTAAAATATTAGATTGTTTTTCATTAAAAAATGAAGAATTTGAAAATTGATGAAAAACTTCAAGTAAATTAACTTGATTACTAATTTGATTAAAATTATTAATTGATTTTATTAATTCAAATCTATTATCAGTATATAATGTCGGTTTGAAATTATAAAATGGAAATTCTTTTAATATAGATGCATTTTTGAGTTTAGAATTCATTTGTTGAAGTTGATTATCATCGACTGCTTGTTAATTATTGTTAATGTTAATTATTTTAGTGTTAGTGAACCAGAGAAATTGTAATCACATATAGGCATTATGATGTTCTTCCATTTATGCGAAAAACTTCGAAAAATATTAGTGGACGGATTTTTGCAATAAACCCTTATCTATCATTTAACCACCCGTGACTCTTGGTAGCCTTGTCATGACTGATTTCATGAAATTCTACGTGGAATAAGCGGAACAGTTTTTTTCTAAAGACGAATCGATGAATCAGATGTGAAATAAAAAAGTTTTTTTCGCTGGGTGGGGGCCCTTAAACACGCATTAATAGATGGCGAAAAAGCGCTGAATGGTCTTTTCCTTTTGTTCTTCTTCTGTTATTCATTTACTTCCTATTCACTAAAGTGAAGTGCATGTAAATGGAAAGCAAATGACATGCAAATGACTTTATTCACTTCTTTTTGAAGTGAATGACACAAACTCATGTACATGGCACCTAGTGAACAAGCGGCGTATTTTACATTCACTACAGCAAAAACAAGTGCATGAATACAGTAGATGGGAAGTGGATGTACTGCAAATGACAAGTACATGCACAAAAATTTGACAGAAATATGCACTTAATGCGCATAAATTATACACTCCAAGTAAATCCTTTATTCACTCCAAGTGAACGAACTGTGCATAGCAAAAAATATTTTTTTACAGTGTATGTATAGATTTATCTTTGTTTTCCTCTGGTTCAATGAACATAGCTTAAACCAACTATGTATATATATTATCACCTGAAGATATTAACTAATGCAAAAACATGCGAAAGATTAACAATCTGTAATATCGTGCTATTTTGTGTATAGTTCATTTCTCTTTAAGACCAATAAAGTGAAAAATTCTAGGCAAATGCTTTGTAATTGAAAAATGGAATTGAAATAGGGTAACAGATGGAAGTAAATCGTTTTATAGAAGCAAAAATCATTCTGCAGTCTATATCTACAAAACTTCAATTACATTCAACATTAATGATATAATTATTGATTTATGTAGACACAATAATATAAATAATCCAGATGATTCTTATATGTGTTTTGTTGATCATATATTTAATAATAATGATGCTGTCGAATCTACAAATATTCACCATCTGTCAACAACAGATGGTATGATGTAAAATTACCAGAATTACGTGTGAAAGCATCATCTTTACTTAAAACTGTACTACATTATGGTACACATGTTATATTCACAACACCAGAACACGTGACGATGAACGAAGTATTGAATATTCAATTCCTATTGAATTTAATCAGATTGTACCTGAATCAATTCAAGCTGTAGGAAAATAAATTAATGAGCATTTATCAAATGAAAAAGCAGGTAGCGGTTTGACTGTTATGCCATTACCTATTTTCGATCGTACACTTAGAGGTAATCCACATAGGTCTGAGAGTAAGAAAGAGTGATCAGTCAAAACTGGATAACCACGAAGAAGGCCAGTTTTACTTGAAGAAATTGATAAACATGATATGATTATAATTGATGCGCGTCAAGAATCAATCACGCCTACATTCTATGTCGGGAAACTTAATTCTTGCAAATATCGATTGAAAAATGTTTAAAATCCAAAACATGTAGTTGAACTGAATTACTTGTGAAAGAAGTGAAATGCTACTAACTTCAGATAATGAGGACTAAAGTAAGTTTTGCTCAGTCCAGCTGGAAAGCACAGTAGTTTACTGGGCTATGTCTTTCAATTTCTAAAGAAGGGCCTTAAATAACCCAAGTTATACTTCAAATTCAACTTGAATGAATATCTTGCGATGAATGTATTTAAATTATTGAACAACGATCTTTTATTATTGTAAAATGAAATATCGTAAAAAAAATTATGAAAAAATGTAAAAAATGAAGCATGCTTTATAAACTTCTCGTGTACGATCGGGATCATTTGCTTCTAATTATTCTAAATTGTCATCTCTGAATGGCGCTAAACCTATAAAACAAAAAAAAGAGATTTTATCAGATCAGCAGCCTCAGAGGCGAAATTTACGTGCAGCCGAATCGTTTTCTCCGTCAAGTAAAAAGATGCGCAAGTTTGAGCTTGAGACCAAACTTACCCCGTGCGTCTCCGACAGCGTCTAGATGTGTTCGGATCATCGACAGACAATCGGCTTTTTCATTCAACCTTTTGATCTGTCTTTTATAACGTGTCCTGCTATTTCGATTTTGTCGCATTAAGTTTCTTAATAGCGTAATGCGGGCATCAATTTCAGGAATATGCTTTCCCAGAGCTTTGAACTACAATATGAAATGATTAATTGAAAAGAATATGATTATTTACAATTATTTAACGTAAACTTACCAACAAAATCAAATCTTCATTACTCAATGCTGTGATAGATTCTAGATTATGTGCAAGAATTTCTTCGCAGTTCATTTTTAACCAGTTTGAAATTCAATTTGTTCGAGATTATAAAGTACAACAGTACGCCTTTACCCTTATCCCTGTCGAAATGAATGAAGAAAACTTTTGATACTAAATATAGTCTTGATTTTTTCTAAGATAGCCTATATTCATATATAAGTGAATGTAGTTTGTGTCATAGTAGTAGAGAAAGAAACAAGGCGTCCCGTTTGCCATTTTGCCTGGTAATAGTCTATTTTGTCCATGTGAGAAACGTTTCAAAAATAAACGAGCGAAGTGAAATAGACGAATATGTGATGTAAGAAAAACAATTACAAGTTTAGAACGAACAAAAAGATAATCTTGAATAGTTATGGTAAAAGAAAGAAACTGTTTAAAGAATGTTAAAAAATACATTCGACCGCTTTCAAATGTCCTTCTTAAACACTTATCGTTGTAAAAACGTATAATCTCGCATGTAATAATACAAGTTAATTGCTTATATCTCTGGCATATCACCGATAAGTGAAATTTTTAAATAGAACTAGAGTCGATGAAAACTACGTTTTTGGATAGAGGATACTCGATTGCATATGTATGTGCCAAAACTGGCTTGGGTACTGTCGGTCGGGTAGCAAAAAACGTTTTAGAAAGTTTTCGAGAGAAAAAACAAAAAAAACGCCAAAAAATATAACGACTCGAGCAGGAATCGAACCCACGCCGTGAATAAGAATCTGCTGTTTCTCTCTGCTCTGTCCACTGAGCTATCGAGTCTATGCTTTTCTATCGTCCTTTTTCTCACTATATTTGAGATGATAAGGAAAAAATGAATTATTGACGTGAAGGATCTTCCAGAAACATATGCGAAAAATTACCTAAACGAGAAAGAATCTTGAATCTACTCGAATTTTGCATTCTCATGATGGAAACTGAGAGAAATTTAATTTTTTTGAGTATATCTTTTTCTCTCTAAAAGGAAATGTGTAAATGGATGAATACCCTAATGAAATAGCCACTTTTGGACAAGTGATTTCCAAAAGTTTTAACATTTTAAAGTGCCGAACGTCGGCAGTTCCCCACTCTAAATATATCATAAAAAGAAAAGGCAACTTTTCTCCATCGAGTGTTTCTTTCACGAATTAGACTTCTGCTGTGGTGCTGTGGCCCGTGCTTTGAAAGCATAGATGTTATTAATTCATAGAATGACCAATTTGTTTTGAGAAAAATGTGTCTTGATCACCAAAAAAGTGACTTTTGATCACCAGATTTATTAGTAGACAGACAACAAAAAGGATATAATGAAAATATATACAACAAGAAATAATCCAGGTCGCAGGAAACGAGACAAATGAGACATGTATGGCTCATTTATGATATGAAGTGAAAATGATCATATTATGATCAAAAAATGATTTAAGTATGAGCTTAAAATGATATCATTTTTGAGTCATTTTAAGACCATTTCATAAAATGAGATAAAAATGATGTATATATGATATAATTTGTAAAAATGATCTAAATATGATCCTATTATGATCATCTAAAAATGATCTAAATATGATCCTATTATGATCATCTAAAAATGATCTAAATATGATCCTATTATGATCATCTAAAAATGATCTAAATATGATCCTATTATGATCATCTAAATATGATCCTATTATGATCATCTAAATATGATCCTATTATGATCATCTAAAAATGATCTATTTATGTATCATTTTTATATCATATCTCTAGGATCGCAGATGTGACATTTACGTGTGATTTTTACATCATTTTTAGCCTGTGATATAAAATGATCATTTTCTTACAATTACGTTTGTTAGATTTTATGATCATAATTAGATCATATCATTTATGTGTATTAGATTAGTCATTTACGGGACATTATGATACAAACGGAAGTAGCAGTTTTCTATGGAATTATGCGCATTTATCTTCTACCGCTTTCCACAAACACTGTACAGAGTTGAGCTTACAGACTAAAAGATAGTAAACTTAATTTCTGATATTTTTTACTCTGAAGCCAACCCCCGAAAACTCTGTATATATGTATTCTTTGATCACACTTAGTGAGTGGTGCATTGTGAGAGTTGGAGATGGAGTGAAGTGCGAGGATATTCACCCAAATAAATCCATCATTTGCTTCAGTGTAATACAAAATTTCGAAAAGTTTTCATTTAATATAAGCTGGACTAATTCAGAATACAAGTGGAAAAGTATTCCATTACAGTACTCTACAGCAAAACTTTCGAAAAACATAAAAACAATTTTGTACGAATAGAGATTCGAACACATAAACTTAGCTTTGCAGTAAACTGTAAAACTTAATCCACTCTTGTCACCATATTCTGTACAACGATCGAAGTTGTTCAATCGACTCGTTGTGATCAGTAGAATTTTTCACCTTTGGTCACCAGATTTTTAGAACTGTCTAGTATATCACCCAATGATAAAAATTTTTTGAATTTCATCATTCTGCTTAGAAGCTTCAGACTGAGCATTTCATTAGTGTTGATAAAATGATACATCCTTGAAGCATACAAAACTCCCAAAATTCATATGTTCCATCCTCCTTTCGTTCAGTGCTTTTTGTTTAGTTCTGTGAGAATATTGAGTCCCTGTGATACTGCATATGACTCATGAGAAGTAAGTCATAAATCCATGCATGACAAAAATGTACAAAACTTAATAACTTAAGAAATATTACTGAAACATTGCTGAAACATGTTCTCTTTCCTTTTATACGAAACGAAAACGAAATTTATTTCCTTTCTTATGTTTTTCTTTTTTCGTTGCTTCCGCATACACGAGAATGAGTATTTTCTATTTTTCCCTTTTCTATCTTAAGAGCACAGAAAAGAAAGAAACAAAGACGTACAATGTGAATATACTCTAAACATTACTTATTTTCTACGGCACTAATATTTCAGGCCTTTCTCTCTCTCTTTCACGGACGAGAAAATATTAGACTGATATACTCGCTCGTTCATCCTCTTTTCTCACATATTACTTCTGTATATGTGAGAAAAGAGAAAGACAACTTCTCAGCATATGAATAAAGAGCTCTGTGAATGACAAGCGAGTATATCAGTCTAATATTTTCTCGTCCCGATAGAAAGAGAAATAGGCCCGAGTAATGAATGTACTCTGATTTCTGTTTTTCAAACATTTTATAAGCAACAAATGAATTGTACCTTCGATGATAAATGAAGAAAGACAGATTCGATGTACAAAACGTTCAAATTATAGAGCCAGGTAAGATTCATAATTCGATAAAACCAGCATCCTACTGTATGTTAACTGCCGGTTAACAGTTCCTGTTTTTTTGAATGGAATGTTTATTCTTTCAATAGATCACGTAATGTCAGTGACAAAACTCGAGTCGTTTTCCAACGAATTATTTCTCGATATCTTTGATCATATGAATATTGGTGATATAGTTAATGCGTTCTTTGGCTTAAATTCGCGAATTAATTCAATTATTTTTCATCAAAAACAATTTTTTTATTTCTCTTTGACATCAAGATCATTATTATCCGTTCTACCTCAACACATCGCTGATCGAGTTATTTCGTTGAAGATCATTCATTTCGATCTTAATCATTGTCTAAATATTCAACAATTTTCTATCGTTGAATCGATAACATTTGACCAATGCGAGTATAGAACTGTGAAAAAACTTATGCCTGGTATTTATCAATTGAAATATTTGAAACATTTGATTGTTCGCCATAATGTTTCGTATATGAAAGCGAACCAGCTAGAGAGACTGTACGGACTAATTTTATGTGATAAATTACCAGAGACAGTAAAAACGTGCATAATAGACATCTGGTAAGACATACGAGTGGCTTCAGCACTTTTGAAGCGCCACAAGATCTCTACGTTGACAAGCCAATTTAATTTAGGACTATGGAGCAACGTTCAGCATTTCAACAAATAACAAGGTGTTCAAATCTTGAAAATCTGTTGTGAGTGGTGCATTTGTCCCTCTCTTTCTGTTTCATTTAATATCTTTGTTTTAGATTTGAATGTTGCTGGTCTTTTCTAGATGGTTTTTGTCGACTTTCATCCGTCATGTCAAATTTGAAATCTTTACGTTGCCGAGTGTACATTGATCAACGTCACGAGTGTGATTTGCGCGACGCGATTAATTTGAACATGAAAAAGTTTATATGTCGAATAATATGTCCAACAATGTATCATATTGATCTCATATTTACGTGTTTTCCATGTTTAACTGATTTAAACCTGAATTATACGGTTAGTGATGAGTATGACGAGTGCTTAGATGGTAACAGATGGGAGCATGTGATCGTTAGACGTTTGCCACAATTAAAGATATTATATTTGTGGATGAAAATACAGTTCGTAGAGGTACATGATATTGATCCAGTAGTGAACAAATTTAGAACAAGATTTTGGTTAGAACGAAATTGGCGGGTTCGATGGAAAGAAGAGCATAGCACGTTGCACCACATTCTCGTTTCTAATCACAAAACACAGAAATAAGTGAAGCATGTGCATGTGCTATTTCAAGCGAGAGACGTGATTCAGTACATTCAGTATTTTTAATAAATCGTGTATAGCAGAGTTAAGCTTAAAGCAGTGACTCAATCTGGCTTACAGACATACTTTTCAAAGACAAGAGTGCTAGGTGCAACCAGTGCTTCTTGTCTGATCTATAATTTGCAGGAAAAATTCTCTCATTTTTGCTTGTTCCCTAATCGTGATTGTATAGTCATGTAGTGTGTTAGTCTCCTTCAGTTCCAGATTGTACTCTGGTCATGTGTGGTAATAAAATAAAAGAATCATCTAAGATCACCAAAATTCAAATGGGATAAGTTAATCAAGTGACTGAAAGTCGCTTCACTAATCAATAAAACTAATAGAATATTCCAAGCTATTAAAAAGATATTGAAACAAAACATAAGGTATTATTTTAGTGTACTACTGCATTAATCGTTTATCTGTACATTTAATTGACAAATTTTTGCCGAATCTAGATAATTTCTTTTTTTTATCGCTTTTGATTAAATTTGTTGTTGAATAATCCCTTTAATAACGTCTTATACATTGCGATAATTGTTGTACGATATGTATATGGAAAATCCTCTAGATGGTTTTGATAAGCGAATCATTTGGCCTATTAGATGACGATATTCATTGAAATCGCGAAGGATGTTAAAGAGCTTGACGAAAGAAAATATGACTCGACTGGGACTCGAACCCAAAACCATGACATTCCTTACCAACTCTCTAATCACCGATGGTGTCGAGCCACAGCCTCATATCTGTTTCGTCTTACGAAAGAACTTTTTCTTATGTAACATGTCCAATTACAACACCAGACGTCATAACTTTCGGAAAACTTTCCTTCAAATTAAGATTATTCTGATACCGAACTTTTCTGTGATGCTCCGCCGAAACCGCATGTCAGAGGAGCCCGGGATCGAACTTTTGTTGTTTTCCACTGAAACTACTGAAATTGAAAAGTGAAACTCATACATCATACTAACTTTAATCTGTGCTGTCGAGAGCTGTATATGTTAAAAACTAAAAGAGACGTTCGAAAAAACAGATTAATATATAATACAATTTGTATACTTCAGATTAGTGTAAAAAGTTATTTTTGTTTTAATTCGTGAAGTGGGGAGAATATAGAATAAATTCACAGTCAGCACTGCTTCTTTTCAACATAGAATAAATAAACATGTCAATAAAAATAGAAAATTCTGGCTTTCCTTATTTTGTTCTTTAAAAAGAAATAACGTTCTATACAGATATACCTGAAATTAGTGTAAAGGTACGGGGATAAAACTAGTACGGAGATGTTAAATACATGAATGTTTCGTTATTCAATCGCAGCGATGAATACAACGGTAATTGATGAGTAGTTGTTATTCATCATTTAACACTCTTATTTATTGATTATTAATAGCTCTGTTTCAGAAAAGATACTGACGAATGATAATAGCAGTATTTTTACTATTTTCATTTCTTTTTTACGCACAATACTCTCACCACCATGACCCGAAGAGAAAGCCGGAAAGTCATGGTAGTACTGAAAGTTCTCTCAGAATTCATTTGGGTTTTTCATTATCGTGGAAACCTACGTTTTCAAGTTCAAATTTATTTTGTCATAGATGTGAAAGACAGTGGAGATGGACAAAAAGTTTAAACAAGTGAAACTTTGACGAAGCCTAACCGAATATAAGAAAAAAGTAAAAATAACAAGAGTAAGTTATGGCTTATAAATCATACTGAAGTGTTCTATATTATGTCGCACTAAATAGATACTCACACAACGCGCGTCTGAACTAATTTGCAGAAAAAGCAGCAATAATCTTTCGTGGCAAAACGTTCCGGTCTGATACAGTTTTTGGTATAAAAGATGATGAGGTGTTTTTACGTTTAAATTTTGGAATCTGCCAAAGACATCTATTGGATGTTCTAGCAGATGTTCGAGTAGTTAGAGGTTTTATTAGAGAAAAAGAGCTGAGTGCTGTGCGTCCTGTAATGAGTTTATGAAAAAAAGTTAATCTGAAATATTTTCTCCGCTTTTCTAAATCAGGTAGGTTTAACTGTTGAATTAGGTCAGAACTGTTGGCAAAGAAATTGTTAGTAATCATTCGTGCAGCTAGTTTATGAACAGAGGTTAGTGGACTAAGATGTGTTTTAAAGTCATTGTCAAAAACAATACAAGAATAATCTAACACTGGTAATATACACGTTTTATAGATGTGAAGACGAAGAAATGTAGGAGCACACCTAAAAGTACGATTCATAGCACCTAACATTTGTCTACATCGTTTAGCTATGTTATCAATATGAAACTTCCATGTAAGATCATGCGAAAGATGGACTCCTAACAATTTTATATTACTATCTAACAAAAGTGGTTCTCCTAACAGATAAAGTGGAGGATATTGAGTAGGAAGTTTATTGTTAGAAAAAGGCATAAAAAAACATTTTTTAATATTTAACGAAATTTCGTTTTTAACACACCAGTCTGCCATGACATTTAGAAAGTTCTGTACTTCTGTGAAATCACTGAAGTTGTCCAATGGAATTAGTCCAAAGACATCATCAGCGAAAAGAGATGCTGTAACCGCTGGAGGAAATCCTTGACTCAAGCCATTAATAAATATTAAAAATAACAATGGGTCAAGGATACTGCCCTGAGGTACACCTGAAGTGACTTTTGCTGCTTTTGATTTTGCCTTATTGATAATGACGATCTGTTCTCTATCTGTAAGATAAGATTCAAACCATTTAAGAAAGTATTTCCAAAATAATTAAAAGATTTTGTTCTATTGCTCTTAGACTTTCATTAGAAAATTCTCGAACACGATCCAATGTTTTCATAGTCCAGATAAACCAATAATGTCTTAAACATTCTCTCTGCATACCTTTAGTAAACTCTATTAATAAATCTAAGGTATGACTATTTTCTAGACTGTTACAATTAATTAATATCTTTTGTAATGTTCGATTTTGATCTTCAAGATATCTCCAACCTTCTAAATTATAATTTGTTTGTTGTAAATTGTAAAGATAAGTATAAGTGAAATTCGAAATTTTAGCTTTTAAGCACATTTCTTCTACTGTATGTGCAACAATGATAGCTTCTAATTTTTGAAGAAAATAATCTCCAGTTATCAAAAGAGACGCTTCACTGGGTTTATTAATAAACTATTGAATGATCTCTACATCAACGAGATTATTTTCAGTTTAAAATTTTCTCCACGCTTGTTTATACAAATTCTCTTTTAGAATTTCAACATTCTGTCGGTCTAGAAGCGACTTCGAAAGTTCTTCTTGTGTCATTTCCATTAATGCCTCTGCACATCTTTGCGAAGCAACAAGACGTTGATGAAAACATTGCTCATTAATAATTCGATTAATAGTACTTCTTAAATTGGCAATTTCAACACTTCTAATTTCTAATCCTGTTGCCGATTGGTTAACATCTACTCTCTGAATTTGATCCTGTAATTGTTGGTAAACTGCTCGATACTGTTGTAAAAAGTCATCATATTGACTCAATATCTGTTCTGCTAATAACATCACTCCAATATTCATTTGTTCTGTATTTAATATTTTACTATCAAGTCGTTGATTTTCTACTTTAATGGTTTGCGAAAATTTTTCTTGCAAAATTAAAATTTGCTCAGCAGCACGCTCGATATTTGGAAGTGTATGAACTTTGTGAGGAGGCAAACCTTCCAAGGTAGCCATCTTTTCTAAAAATTGGTTTAAACTCGGGGCTAACCAATGCTGATACGAAGCTAACTTTTGAGGATTACAATATTTGTCAAAAAATTGTGCAGTTTCTTGAAAAACATGTTGATGATTTATAGCATGAATTTGCTGTACAACGTCTTGATCTTTATGTTTACATGTCATACTAGCTCCTTTTTGTGTATCTTTAGTAGTATATTTATTTTGAAACCTACGATTGTGTTCGTCATCTTTCATAGAAAGCATTGAATAATGTTTATACCTTTGCTTTTCTTCATGCTTATATCTGTCGTCAGAATGGAGCCGACCTCCTTTTAGGTTATCTAGTTTTCGTGAGGTAACCATAGCCTTTAAAAATTTTTGCGTATTACTTATTGCTACATAATCTAGACCATTTCTGCCATGTTTTCCAGCCTCGCCTGGTTCACCTGGCTTACCATTGTCACTTTTCTGTTTCTTCCTACACTTTTCTTTTGAGTTATGAGAGAAACATTATCCAAAGGAACAAGCTTCACTAGTCCAGAATCGCCTTCATCTCCACAATAGCCCCCTGAACCTGCATCTCCTCCCGAACCACCAGCTGTACCATCAGTACCGATACGACGATAACGAAATCCTAAAGCACCTCCATAAAAGGCCCACGAGCGTTCTAACTTTTTTCTCATAGCATGTTTATCCGCATCTCTCCCATTGACACCTGTAATGCCAGATGCTCCGTTTCCTCCGTTTTGTCCTCTTCCTCCTTTCCCACCATAAGCTGACACTTCAATTGGAGGCAATTCATTCGCAAGTACATAAACATGTCCTGCACTTTTTCCATGTTTTCCGTCAGATCCATCTTCTCCTTTATTTCCTTTTCCACTCCGATCTGTACCGTGACCATTTTTAGCTGGATTATTTTTCCAAATATCCTTTGCATCTGTTTCAATATACAATCAATATAGCTCTAGAATTCAATTTTTGATCCGATTCTTTTGCGATAGAAAGAGCTGAAAAAAAGCTGCTCAGTAGAACTGTTTATATTTTTGAAAAGATTCCACCATAAGCAGAGACTAAAAAAGATTTATTAAATATGAATATGTGCTAGAACAAAATGTTTGTTGCTGTTTTTCAACTTTCCTATAAAAATTCAATAACTCAACGACGAAACACTACTTTGACTGTAAATTTTCAGACTGTACTTATAAGTGTTCACAGCTTAAGTAACGTATACGTATTTGGAATTATTGATACTGTTATAGAGTGTTCATACAACAACAGTATTCCATATTTTGCATAAAGAGGTGTGTGGTATGAATTTCACTATTTTACCACTTGAATTAGCTTTAATCACGATCGATTATATTCAGCAGATAGAGCTTTTAAATTGCTAAATGATTGATAAATTTTGCTTTCTTAATAAGATATAAAGTACAGTATAATGAAGAGGCATATAACACCAATTAGCACTAAGCTTAAAAGATCGTGTGAAAATAAAAAAGATCTTTAAAAAATAACCAAGAAATTATGCGGAATTCTTTTCTTCATTAAGAAAATACTAGGAACTCGAAAACCACAACAAACTTCAAGCTAACAGCGGTTGTCTTACAGCGCCTTTTTTGCTTCCTGGTGAAGATGTGCCGTTCCAGCATACACTTCATATTTAATAAATCTTTTTTAGTCTCCGCTTATGGTGGAATCTTTTCAAAAATATAAACAGTCATACTGGGCAGCTCTTTCTATCGCAAAAAGAATCGGATCAAAAATTGAATTCTAAAGCTATAGAAAGACCATTACAAAAAGGGGTAAGTTTTCTGTGGACCACCCTGTATCAATACAAATGATATCCTAATATACCTGCCGATCCTACCCTAAGTATATGACTAAGAATCCTCCAAAGAGATCAACACTAAAACGGTTTCTTATGATCTCATTAAATAGAGCGTTCAAAGTTACCCATAAACCCAAGTTGTTAAACCTTAGAGCCTAAAAATGAGTGAGTTATCGATTTTCATACAAAAAGCATCGAAAAATAATCGAAAAAGTAGACTTTTATCATATTTTAATTTTTTCTTGTTTTGTTCTCTATTTTAAAAATCCGAGTTACGCATGAATCGAACGACCAGAAAACCTGTACAAGTTAGGCTAGCGGCAAGAGGCTCAAGTCATAAGTTAATGGCCAAAAAAAATTCAACTTATTGAAATTTGTTAGGTTAAAACACTTGATTTCTTTCAGTAAGATAGCTACCACATAGTCAAACCATGTGATAATAAAACAGTTTTAACGTAGTTTGTAGACCGATCAATTGTTTACAAAATGAACTACAATATTAATACCACCAGAATTAGCATCATTCATCAAGTTTTCAAAACTTTAGTTTTGACTCAGACTAATTCATTCTCAAAGAAAACTGATATTGGTGATGTTCTACGACATGTTTCTGCGCGTTTCTGAACAAAACCTTCACTTGAAAACACTGGAGGCATCCCAGTTGCGATAGTTTTTCTTTTTCGATTTAATTAATGCCTAATGAGTGTTAGCATTATACGTTAAACATTCTATTCCAGGTTTTAAACACAAAAAGGTCGTTTAACACTGTCTGTTAAATTACATCCTTCACATGTTTTTAGTTTTCAGGCTTAATTTGAATATATACATAACACATATTAACGCAACATCATTAGGCTGCTTGATAAATGCATGTGAGGCAAAGATGATCATTAAAAGACGCCGTAATGTTTACTTTTGAAATTTCGACCACCTGCTACAACTTAAGTTTCTTTATAATACTTTATGCCGCCAGTGTCAATTAGGAAAATGAAAACGAAAAACACGACCGTTTTAAGTACGTAAGTAATCCATACAAACATTGCAAAAGTTACATCGTTTATCAGCGGCGTCATATCTAGTCTGCTAGGTCGAAACTTCCTCTGCATTGAGAGTATTACAAGGAACTCAGAGCATAAATTTCTCTCCCTATGCATACCAAGTGAATTATTGCTATCTTGAATTTTCATCTATTAGACTCTATCGTTCAATAGAAACATTCTTCAATACACTACACAAAGCCAACAGCACACTGCTTTCAACATGTTAATACTGTGTATAAAACTTCAATATCAGTTTTCTTTGAGAATGAAATAGTCTGAGTCAAAACTAAAGTTTTGAAAACTTGATGAATGATGCTAATTCTGGTGGTATTAATATTGTAGTTCATTTTGTAAACAATTGATCGGTCTACAAACTACGTTAAAACTGTTTTATTATCACATGATATTCTGAAAAAAAGAACTTAAGTTTGTTTAAATAGTGTATTCAGTAATTGATCGTAAATGAAGTGTTCTAGCACTGTACTGGGAATGAAAAGTAAAGATATTCGACGATATTTATCAGCTGGGCTTATGTCAGCCAGATTCCATTGTGAGAGATATAACCCAGTAGAAATAAAACGAGCACAAGTGTGATTGACAGGCTAAGTAGCTTCGATAAACACTCTCTAAGAAAGGTGGAAGATCCATGATTATTGGGTCCCATCAGTGCCAGCGTCTAGAACGTTGTTGAATCTCGCATATCGCTTAGGCGTACACAGTGTACAACTTGTAGACAGTAGACGTCTAATAAGTCTAAGTATCAATTCAACATGCTAGACACCTGAGAACTATTAATAAGTACCTTAGCGTAGATTAAACCCTCTAACACGCGTCGAAGTATAAGTACGAAATGTGACGATGTAATTAAGAACGCATCATATACCGTTGCTTTTCAGGTTTTACTACTTATACATTGTAATTATTCGGTATAACTGGCGCACGTTTCCGAATTAAACAGAACTTTATTTCTACTCGACTGTCTGTCACTTGTAATGAAGAGAGTAAGAGAAAGCAGAGAGCAGAAAATTATAAGTTTTTACTATATCACAGTATGTTTCTTTCTCACGGAACAAAAGAAGAGTCACTAAGATAAAGAGCTCCATTCACACGTGATTCAGGCTGCTAAACTTTTTAAAAAGTGACTTTGACTATAGACTGTTAATATCATTGTATTAAACAGTTATTAGCTATGTGACTCTTCCTCTACATCACTCTTATAGTTTTTAACAGTTCGCATTGCGCGATGTGAGCAATTTTTATGTAACGTAAAAGTAATATTTGCGCAGATAACAAGATTCTTCTATTACATTTTTTTTCATTTCTTTGCATATATATAGTTCTAGTATGATAGGAATATGACATTTTCGTTCGATTACAAGGTCTTCTTATAAAATGACGCATTTTTATACGATTTTACTTGTCATATTTTTTATGGTTCATTCAAAATTTGAATGTAAACAAGTTTTAAATGATAATAATTATAATATCGATGGAACAATTGAAAATTCTAACTGGGAATTTGTACGTGATATATTTAAAAGTAACTTTCATGATGGATTAGATATTGGTGCGTCATTAGCAATTTATCATAATGGTAAATTAGTTGTGGATTTAT